TAAACAGGTTAAGCAATTTGGTATCCTGATAAAAAACGATAACCGCTGGAGTACGAGAAAGCATCAGTGATTCAGGATAATAAGTGACTCGTTGACCGTTAAGATCATAATCAAAAGTTGAACTTTCCTGTGTATGAACTAACTGAGTTGATAGTAAGAATAAAACGATAAGGAACAAAGTAAATCTAAGTGGACTTTCCTTGGAATTCATCCAGAAGGCGTTGATCCAAAATATTCTCGGCCGGTTCCCAAGTCGCGTCTGAAACAGGGTAGTTTGCCCATCGGATGAGGTACTGAATTTTGCCATTTCTTGTTCTGGATCGGAGAATCTCTTCGGCTGCAAAGACATCTGGTTCTTGGAAGACATCTGTAGAGTCAACGGAACTAGCGTTAGGATTCTCGTTAGCATCTTGTATGGGTTCAGCATTAGTTGAGCTAGAGGGAGGAGAATCATCTGTAGAAAAACTATCAGCGGGAAGATCAGCAGCATCGAATGCAAGATCATCAGGATCGTCTACTGTTGGTGGTAAAATAGGGCAATCGGCAGGGTCATAAAAGTGCTTTAATCTGTTAGCGTGAACAGTCATGGCCACTAAGCGGTTGTCACAAGTGCGAACTTGATAATGCACAGGAGACAATTTACGGCAGATTCGAAAAGGACCGTTCCATTTTGATAACAGTTTCTTACTAAGGCCTCTTTTTACCTTTGGCATATAAATCCATACTCGTTGGCCGACCTCAAATGGTGCATCCGCTGAATTCTTATCATACTGCAATTTCATTAGTTGTTGAGCTCTAGCGATATTCGAACGTGCAATGGACTGGGAAGTTTCTATCTGGCGCACTATGCGTGCGCAATGTTCGTTGACCAAAGCGGAAAGTTGAGTCGCTGGCAACGAGCTTACATCAGGTGGCAAACGAGGTTCGCGCCCATAAAGCAAGTAAAAGGGGCTGTCGCCAGTAGTAACGCTCGGTGAAGTGCGATAAGCAAATTGGATTGCGGGGATATAAACATCCCAGTCCTTTTGGTTTGAACTAACAAACGACGAGATAGCTTCAGCTAAAGTGTTATTAAAACGCTCAACCAGACCATTTGTTTGCGGATGATAAGCAGTTGTGTTTACCTTTTTAGTGTTCAGCAATTTACAAACCTCAGAGACCAAAGATGAGAGAAAATTGCTTCCTCTATCAGATAGAAGAGTGCGTGGTGCACCATGGCGGCAGAAAATTTCATCAACAAGAAGTCGTGCGATCATAGAAGCTTCGATTGACGGAACAGGGACACACTCTACCCATTTTGTCAAGTACTCAGAAAACACAACGACATATCGGTTACCTGCTTTAGAAACCGGGAATGGACCAATTATGTCACAAGCGACGCGGTCAAAGGCATCCTGAACTGGAATCGGTAACAGGGGTGCCTTGTGCCGATTGCGAGGACTTTTCCTCATAGCGCAGTCACAACAACTGCAACACCAATGACTAACATCAGAAAACATCTTTCGCCAATAGTAGCGAGTACGAAGTTTCTCATAGGTCTTAACAGTACCAAAGTGTCCACTGTTAGGATTGTCATGAGCCCAAATTAGTAGTTCATAGCGCAAGGCGGTTGGAATCACTAACTGTTGGTAAGTAGTGGAGCGATGGCGATCTTTTGGAGTCCACAGGTGGAAAAGCAACCCATCTTCATTAACAAGATAGTCGTCAACAAAAGAGAACGCGCAGTGTCGTTGTGATCCGGGAGTTTCCATATTTCTAGATATTGAACAAGGTCAGAAAGATCTGGGTCGCGGCGTTGTAAGTCGCACACGCGCGGTGTTTGGACGCCTGGAACATCATAAGCGGATATGGACAGGGAAGTAAAGGTGTACAGTCGGCGAGAAAGAGCGTTGGCGTTTGCATGTGCTGCTCCTGGGCGATGGCGAATTTCAAAGTCATACTGCTGCACTAAAAGTGACCATCTAGCTAATCTTCCGGAGGGGTCAGAAATGGACATTAACCATTTAAGAGAATGGTGATCGGTATGTAAAACAAATTTTCTCCCATATAAATACGGTTCGAAGTTGTTGATTCCAAAAATTACAGCTAGGGCTTCTCTTTCAGTGGTACTATAATTTTTCTCTGCTGAATTGAAATCTCGACCAGCATAAGCAATAGCAACTTCGCGACCATTCTGAAGCTGTCCTAAGGTTACTCCTACTCCTTCATTAGATACATCTGTGTACAAATGAAAGGTTTCCTTGAAATCTGGAAATGCGAGGATGGGGGCACTTATAAGTGCCTCTTTTAAGGCTTTGAATGCCTGTTCACAAGCATCTGTCCAGAGAAATTTGTGGTCATTGCGCAGTAGTTGGTTTAAGGGTGACACAATTTTGGCAAAATCCTTGATAAAACGTCGGGAATAGTTAGCTAAACCCAAAAATGATCTCACGGTCTTAACACTGTGAGGGCATGGGAAATCTCTTACGGCTGCTATTTTATCATCGTCTGGTGCTATTCCTTCAGGAGAAACCACATGCCCTAGGTATTTAACTTTTGGGCAAGCAAATTTACACTTAGAAGGTTTTAGTTTCAGGTTTGCGTGACGTAGCCGATTGAAAACTTGTCTGAGATGGCTCAAGTGGTCCTCAAAGGTTTTGGAATAGATGAGAATGTCATCTAAGTAAATTAAACAATTCTTATACGTAAAACACACTCCATTAATCGTTGGTACGTTGACGGGGCCCCAGTTAATCCGAATGGGAGCACTAAAAACTCTTAAAGACCACCATAAGTAACGAAAGCGGTGTGTTCACGTGACTCAGATTCCATTTCAACCTGCCAAAAACCACTCATTAAATCCATAGAACTGAAAAATTTAGTACTATTGAGTGCATCTAAGGCATCGTCTATTCGAGGAAGAGGATAAGAATCTTTACGTGTGACGGAATTCAACCTTCGAAAATCAACGACAAATCTATCAGTCCCGTCCTTCTTTTTTACTAGAATAATAGGGGACGCCCACAGGCTTGTACTGGGTTGAATTATGCCCCTATTTAACATATCAGTGACATGTTCCTCAATAATACCACGCTGAGATTCAGAGACACGATAAGGTCGTTGTCTAATAGGTGGGTTGTCACCAGTGTCAATATGATTGCTTTACTAAACCTGTGCGCCCAAGTTCTTCTGGCTTTAAAGCAAAAATATCGCGATATTAAGCTATCAAAGACTTTAACTCAGAAAGCTGGTGTTCATCCAGATTAGTTGATGTGAAGTCTAAGGGAGCGGTTTCCTCATCCCCAACAGGTGGAGGGGACTGTGCAGGGGTGTCGGAAGTGGCAATAACAGACATTGATGCAGCTGAAGGGGTAAAAGTCCCCACTGTTGTGCAGCAGTAAATTGTCACAGGCTTTTGAGTTGGGTTGATAATCCGAAATAGAAAGGTATGCTGCTCTGAAAAACTAAAAGTTGGGAGGCACCACAGAAATGATAGTGGTCAATGAGTTTGGCACTGGGCTCTATTAAACCCGTCTTTCCCACTGGTAAGGAGCTCTTTGGATAAACTGGAATAACAGACTCAGACATTGGGGGCAGGATCTAAGTAGCAAGGGCATGCACAGTAACTGGTTCTTGTTCCCTTTGTTTGTCAGGTAAGGGTGGAGATGATGAATGTATAACGGTACGGAATTGGTGCCAGTAAGTGTCAAGGTATTATCTTGTAAATCAATCACAGAACCAAAGTGCATAAGAAAATTTCTACCCAGCACGACGGGATAGGTGAGGTTGTCAATAACAAGAGTCTCAAAAGGATATGCATTGGCACCTATAGTTAAAGGAAGATTGACCTGACCCAAAACTGGGAGGTGTTCACTAACTGTTTGTATCGACGAAATAGGTGACGGCTCAAGTTTAGGAGACACCGTGAACGTAGAAACGAAATTACTACTTACCGCAGTGACTGAGGCACCGGTATCAACCAACATTAGCGTGGATCGGTCGGCGATAGAGCAATAGACATATAGACTATCTGATGGAGGGTGTACCTGTGAATCAAAGGCATTCACATGCGAGCTAATAAATGGGGGCGTTTGAGAAGGAGTGTACCACACCTGAGGGGTAGATGTGTCAGTGTCCAATATTTCTGGAACGGAATTAATAATAGGTGCAACCAAATCGACGGACTGGTCAAGGCCTTGTAAACTAGAGTGATTTGCCACAGCTGAAGTGTCTACTTGCGAAAACGCAGCAGTTTCGGAAGGTTCTGAGCGCTCTGAAATAGGATTTTGCGAAACTACGTGATTACCTACCTGGGAAGATGGTTGAGGAAATAGAAAGTCATGCCAAACTTGATCAGGGTTTAACACGCTTCCATGAATAGTAGGTTCTACGTTTGAAAACGCAACAGCTGTGTGTGCACCTTGGGTACATGCAAAAGGCGGGTCTATATTTCTTTCACTTGTTGTATAACTTGAATTTATTTCATTTATATTCATTTATATTCTGAATTTGATTATCTACTGGAAAAACGGCCGTATCTTCTTCAATAGGTAATAATTGCGCACTTGAAGTATCATTTATATCTCGTGTAATTTCTGATTCATCATAAACTTCGCCAGAAGAATTCTCTAAAAACATCATGTCGCCACAAATAGTTTCCGAATTTTTATCTGTACGTAGTGCATTTACTTCATTGTGCAAATTTTCATCATGCGATTCAATCTCATTACTTAAAACTGTAATTGTATTATCAATTAAATTGTGGCGCAATTATTCATATTCTGTGTCATAAATATTGTCTGCAACGTTTTGTTCATTCTGGAAAGTTTCTTCTGGTTTATCTTCGCATGTAATATCAATTTGTTTAATATTCTCATTTTCACTCGCGCTACTGTGTTCACTGAAATTTCTGTTGAAGTGGTTAATCGCCATATTGTCAATAACGTCATGACATTCATTTTCACTGTCTTCTATAATAACATCATTGTTGTGAACCTCGAAATCGTAAATAATATTATCATTTATTTCGTTTGCGCCCTTTTCAATAAAAACGTCATTATGAACCACATGAAATTAGGATAAATAGGAATTGGCCAATGTGTCACCGGCGGAATATGTATAAGATGAATACGAAGCAACTTGAGGGTCAATCTGACTATTATGTTGTGGATTTGCAGTTCCCGGATAACTACATCATCCGAAATAGACAGTTGAGACTCATCGCCTTCGAAATAAATACCCTCTGGTGAATAATTAAATCTTGAAATATTTACATTATCAGCCTTATACGACGCGATTTGCGGTTGTCAAAAATTGGCTCTTGCTCGGGGAAAAGAGCGTCCGGCAAGAGCCCTTACTCGTTTAACTGCGAATTAGGCTGACGACTACTAGGCTGCTCTGAGAATTAGGGCCTATTGGAAAAACGCACCTGGTTTGGAGGAAGTCGTGGATCCCTACCATGCTGTTGGCAAGTTCGCCAAGTGTGTCCTACACGTTGGCAAAAAGAACAGATCGGATCTCCCTCTACTGTGCGAAAATCAGGGCGACGTGGATTTTGGTAACGCCTAAGTTCATTTTCCAACCGATTTATCTGCCTCTGCATCTGGTCAATTTGGCGAGTAGGCTGTCCTTGCCAATTGCGCGTTTGATTAAAACGCAGAGGAGAAGATTGTGGCTGATCATAAGCCGCTACACTGGCATGAGAAGCTGGGCGCTGCGTGGTTTGCTTCTGCAGTTGTTTAAGTTGTTTAGAAAGCTCATCAAAACGCTTATTGATTTGTGATGGCATCGGTTCTGCAGAAGTCGCCGCAATTGTTGGAGGTTTAGGAGAGACCGTTTGGGTCATTAATTTCTGGAACATTGCTTCCATTTGATTTATCACTGATTGTGTATCCGGCACACTCTGATTATTGGCCACTAATTCTTTCATACGAGCTAAAGATTCTGCTTCTTGAAAGGTCTTAGGTCGAGCTTAAGTCACATAACTTTGAATGTGAGGTTGAAGACCTTGAGTAAAGTAACACATAGAATCTACATCCGATAATTTTAAACGCTTACAGAAACGTGTGATGTCAGTAAGATAATCATCGATGCGCTCCCCCTTCGCTTGTTTCCGAGTGCTTAATTGTTGGCTAAGAATCCAATCATGCGGCCCCGAAGCAAAACGCTCCTGAAAAGCCTCTTTAACCCTACTAAAACTGTTAATAACATCTTCGGGAAGGGAAAGAAACCAAGCATGAGCTACGCCCGATAAATACAGCGGAAAAGCACTAAGGCGATTTTCAGCAGACCAGTTATTAATTTGTGCAATGCGTAAAAAAGAATCAAACCATATCAAGGCGTCTACAGCAGGATTTCCATCGAAAACATCAGGTTTTATGCCGCTTGAACTAGGTTTTTTATCAAGACGTGTCTGAATAAAGTCTAATTGTGTTCGCTGGGAGTGTGATTCCTTAGCTAAATCTTGCCTTAAGGAATTGCACATATCCTGAAACATTTTCTCGAATTCTTTCTTTTGCTCCTCATTCATTATTGTAGTTGTAGATGGAACTGATTCACTGTGAGGACAAGTACAAATATCAGTGTGGGTCTGTGTACCTAGTGATTTGTTTTTACTGCTTTGGGAATGAGTAACGATGTGACTTGAAGGAGTAGTTTTAGGCATGCACGTAAACTATTTCTATCGTTCTTCGCTGAGGCATTACTAGATGAAGTAGCGATATATATAGATTTATTTTTTTGGTTTTGTGTTAAACAAAAGCTAATAATACGTGAAACTAACGTTACATCCGAGATACTGGAATAATTGAATCATAATGTTTGCTTACAATTTCCTGGCTTGGGTCTTTCGGTATTCCTTTCTTCGGCCGTCCTTTCCTTTCTGTGTGTTTCTTCGACGCACAAGCGCATGCTTCTACTTGAATGGTCTGTAAGGAGGTTTAGAAAGTGCAAGATCTTCTGCGGGTCAACGCCTGAACAAGGTGCGGCTTGAACGCACTGGTTCTTCTCTGCTGGGAGTTAAAACGGTGGGCTTACTTGTGGTACCCGTGGCACTCCTGCTTCGTACAGATGTTCTTTAAGCCTGTGGATAACCAGGACTAATGGCAGGCTGTTAAGTCGACGAAGAGGTCCGTTGGGCCTTTGCGGAGTACCACGACCACGACCACGACCAGACATAAAATGCTACGCGAAGAAAGCGGATTTCTCCACCACTTTGTTGAAGAACCTTACTGGGGGTACTAACAGGTTCTAACAACAAACAGCAAGACAGACGAGTACTTGTTCAATGACTCTTTAATTCTTCAGTAAGGCGTCACGAAGTTAGCGCAACTTGTATTTTACAATTCTCTACAAGATCAGTGTTACACTCATTTTTATATCAGCCAGGAAACCAGCTGCTTAGCGCAAACCGAATGCTGACATAACGCCAATCCGATTGGTTAAAACAGCTTCATTAGCATGAAACCTTCGAGATAATTGCTTTGTGGAAATGACTCTTCAACGGAAGTTTTCACTGCTAAGCTTAAGTCAACTGGCCAATATGTAACTGGGAGAACAATATAAAAACTACAAGGTATATTGTGGTTGATCATAAGCCGCTACACTGGCATGAGAAGCTTCTGCAGTTGTTTAAGTTGTTTAGAAAGCTCATCAAAACGCTTATCGATTTGTGATGGCATCGGTTCTGCAGAAGCCGCCGCAATTGTTGGAGGTTTAGGAGAGACCATTTGGGTCATTAATTTCTGGAACATTGCTTCCATTTGATTTATCACTGATTGTGTATCCGGCACACTCTGATTATTGGCCACTAATTCTTTCATACGAGCTAAAGATTCTGCTTCTTGAAAGGTCTTAGGTCGAGCTTAAGTCACATAACTTTGAATGTGAGGTTGAAGACCTTGAGTAAAGTAACGCATAGAATCTACATCCGATAATTTTAAACGCTTACAGAAACGTGTGATGTCAGTAAGATAATCATCGATGCGCTCCCCCTTCGCTTGTTTCCGAGTGCTTAATTGTTGGCTAAGAATCCAATCATGCGGCCCCGAAGCAAAACGCTCCTGAAAAGCCTCTTTAACCCTACTAAAACTGTTAATAACATCTTCGGGAAGGGAAAGAAACCAAGCATGAACTACGCCCGATAAATACAGCGGAAAAGCACTAAGGCGATTTTCAGCGGACCAGTTATTAATTTGCGCAATGCGTGAAAAAGAATCAAACCATATCAAGGCGTCTACAGCAAGATTTCCATCGAAAACATCAGGTTTTATGCCGCTTGAACTAGGGCTTTTATCAAGACGTGTCTGAATAAAGTCTAATTGTGTTCCCTGGGAGAGTGATTCCTTAGCTAAATCTTGCCTTAAGGAATTGCACATATCCTGAAACATTTTCTCGAATTCTTTCTTTTGCTCCTCATTCATTATTGTAGTTGTAGATGGAACTGATTCACTGTGAGGACAAGTACAAATATCAGTGTGGGTCTGTGTACCTAGTGATTTGTTTTTACTGCTTTGGGAACGAGTAACGATGTGACTTGAAGGAGTAGTTTTAGGCATGCACGTAAACTATTTCTATCGTTCTTCGCTGAGGCATTACTAGATTAAGTAGGGATATATATAGATTTAATTTTTTTGGTTTTGTGTTAAACAAAAGCTAATAATACGTGAAACTAACGTTACATCCGAGATACTGGAATAATTGAATCATAATGTTTGCTTACAATTTCCTGGCTTGGGTCTTTCGGTATTCCTTTCTTCGGCCGTCCTTTCCTTTCTGTGTGTTTCTTCAACGCACAAGCGCCTGCTTCTACTTGAATGGTCTGTAAGGAGGTTTAGAAAGTGCAAGATCTTCTGCGGGTCAACGCCTGAACAAGGTGCGGCTTGAATGCACTGGTTCTTCTCTGCTGGGAGTTAAAACGGTGGGCTTACTTGTGGTACCCGCGGCACTCCTGCTTCGTACAGATGTTCTTTAAGCCTGTGGATAACCAGGATTAATGGCAGGCTGTTAAGTCGACGAAGAGGTCCGTTGGGCCTTTGCGGAGTACCACGACCACGACCACGACCACGACCAGACATAAAATGCTACGCGAAGAAAGCGGATTTCTCCACCACTTTGTTGAAGAACCTTACTGGGGGTACTAGCAGGTTCTAACAACAAACAGCAAGACAGACGAGTACTTGTTCAATGACTCTCTTTAATTCTTCAGTAAGGCGTCACGAAGTTAGCGCAACTTGTATTTTACAATTCTCTACAAGATCAGTGTTACACGCATTTTTATATCAGCCAGGAAACCAGCTGCTTAGCGCAAACCGAATGCTGACATAAGTCCAATCCGATTGGTTAAAACAGCTTCATTAGCATGAAACCTTCGAGATAATTGCTTTGTCGAAATGACTCTTCAACCGAAGTTTTCACTGCTAAGCGTAAGTCAACTGGCCAATGTGTAACTAGGAGAACAATATAAAAACTATAAGGTATATACCATTAAACAGACTTTTCATACTAACAGATAGGAAAGTACTAAATTACAGTTTGAAAATCCAAGGTTGTTGTCAATTTACAGGTGTTAAGCTTCTTCGTCGAAGATGATTGGCTACAACTTTTCCATAATTTAACCACAAACATGATCGCAAACTTAAAGGATAAATTAAAAATGCAGTTCAAAGTACAGGGCAGAATTTAAAACAATAGTTGTTTGATTACAAAAACACCTATAAAATCACTAAGCCTAATTAAAGTTATCCACTGCCGAGAATTCGGTTAAAAACTCAAAGAAACACGTTGAAAACTCTTTAAAAAAACAAGCAGGGTAGTAGTTCCTGGTAAATATCGAAGGGAGACCAGATTAAGGTAAAAAATGTCAAACTAGACAAAATACTTAATATAAACAAGGCTTTGTCATCTAATCATTTAATTAATTAATGAAACATCTATGGTTGACATGCTTAAATTCCCCACAGTTAGTGCAGGTGACATGGTAACACTCATGCAGTTTGGTGGGATCAAAATGAAATTCGGCGGAACATTTCAAACATTTTCTCCAGATTTCACAAATGCTTTTGTCGTCTTTCTTCTTTCCTTTCTTTTTGTGGGCTTCAAAATAATCTTGGCCATAAAATTTGCAGTTGCCGTTTGGACATTCAAGGGTTGGCTTGATCCATGCAGCATAATTTGGGCAGGTCTTATTTGTTCGAAGACAGGCAGGGCAGTTCTCTCTGCAACAATTGTGGTGGGTGGCGCCCTCGACATCATAACCCTTATCGCACAGACAACAGTAATAGGAACGATTGATAAGGGCGGGGATGCTAGTTAACACATCGAAATGGTCTTGATGTTTCATCAGTGAGATAAAATGCGGTGTGTTATTGTGTTTTGCCTCTTTGAACACAATTAAAGATTTAGACGGTTCGATGTCAATGAGTTGGTATCCCTGTGGTCCTAGAAAGTCTTGAAATTTTTCCAGTTCTTTAAACCCACAGGGGCCTTTGGGAACACCCGCTTCTCAATGCAACAATTTGGCCAATCGTTCTTGAATGGGTCTTCCCTTCCTTAGATTCTGATACAGGGAGCCATTGTCCACCCTCTCTCATTGTCACAATGGCCTGGGAAAGACAGAGGTTGTCTTTATTTTGGATGGTCACAACACACTTCTTTTTCTTGGCCAATTTCTCCCACTCATGGCGGCCAGGTTTGGCTTTTTTGCCCCCGTTCTTTCCTCCACGACCTAACCGCTTCACAAAGGTGAGTTCAACATAAAAGCCATCTCGTTGGGGGTCCATGACTTGAGCTGAATTCAGTTTTTTGGCTAAATCTTCCAGCCAGGCGCAGGTGTAAGCCCCATTAGACAACCATTCTTCCAAAGGGACATTTCGGGCAGATTGTGACCAGACATCAGTGAATGAGTTTGAATGGACAGCGACTAGCAAAGAA